GTTTCACGAAATTTGCGGATATTCTGAGGTTTCACGAAATTTGCGGATATTCTCAAGTTACACGAAATTTGCGGATAACTACACGATTATATCTTTATTCAATTTCAAATTATTCCTATCCAAATAATCGATAAGTTGTTCGGTATCATAATCCTTTATTACATCCCCCATAGTGCGAGTTATTATTTCTTCGTCAGAGTATATGCTCGAATAAATCCACACATGTTTGTTTCCATAAATGTTAATTTATTTGTTTCTTTCATAGATGTCTCAAATCAACGTTTCAGATGTATTACCTTCATTGTCCTTGATCGTCATTCTCACGTGTTTTCTATTATATAGTTTCATCAAGAATTATTTTAATGAAAAAAATACCCGTGATGTTGATATCTTAAATGTTATCAAGTGACAAGTTACCGAAGAAATACTCTTATATGATTCTAAACTTACTGAAGGTTTTGCTAAACTGCATGCCGATCTTAACACTCGCATCATTTCAGAACTTAATACACGTGATACTATCTTAAATGCGGAGGCGCAGAGAATCTCATCATCAATTATTTCTTTAACCATAAGACTTGATAACATTGAACAAGTTCTTGAACGTTATAATAATCATTATGGTAGAATTTCAACCGAATTCGATTCAATTAATGAATCTATCGCAACATTCCATAACCTACTCAATCAACGTTATGCAATCATCCAAAGAGTCGAACAAGATCAGCAAAGTGAAACGAACCTATCTGAAGCTTCTTTCAATTCACCCAGTTCCTCTGCTAGTTCTTCTGGTAAGATAATAAAGCTGAATTTGCTGATTATAAATAAAAAACGACTAATTTGACTTTTTTCTCTATAGGCTCAAATCGGCAAACATTTTCAGGAATTACATTAACTGTCTGGACACATTTTAAAGAAGTCTTCGATACGGATATGGCACTGAGAGGTTATATTTTTGAAGAAATGTGTTATTCCGTAGCTATGCGCATTCGCGAACTTGGTGGAAATATTAGACAGACAACAGTAAAAAATTTTTATAATAGAAGTAGTGGTTGTAGATCAAACACCGTGGGCCAGATTGGTTTATGGATAGATAATATGGAATAGTAAGATGGAACCACCATTTTAAGGTTTAGGGGCCGGTGTAATTCCTCCCTTTAAACGTTTACTACTCCAATATTTTTATTGTATATACAGGTCACTCCCGTTATAAGGACACTCGTGGGACAGACAAAAAATGTCCGTATAACGAGATTGTTCTTATAACGG